ACCAGAATTAAATGGTGCTTATTTGTCTGTCTGCTTTTCTACAGGCCATGGGCTTCTTAAAGGAAAAAATAAATTTAAAACTCCCCCTTGAATCCATAACCGTGCTCGGTGAAATCTTGCCGAGTGTCCTGTGTCATCATCTCCAGAGGTCTACGCTCGTGCCTTCCACGGGCACCATCGAGACAGACAAGACCAGAAGCTCCGTAACTGGCTGCTGTGACCTGCTCACGCCCAACGTCAAAGCCGTCCGTGATCCTAGGGGGACAGGGTGACGCAGGGCGGCTGAGGGGTTTGGACTCAGGCCCTGGCACTAGAAGACACTGTAAGGTTCCCCCTGGCCTTTGGTGACGGCAGAGATGGCATCGCTCTGAAGCTCCACGGCATGTCCCGCTGCACCCAGTGAATGGAACGCCTTGCACTGTTTGTCCCTCCTTGGACACACTGAACGGGCACGCTCTTTACTGCTTACCCCTACACCGTGACCCCAGTGCTTGACCTAGATCCTGGGTGTCTTGGCAACCCCTCGGGGCTCCATGGAGCCTCACTGTAAGTGAGTTTCTTCAGAAAAAAGAGATGTCCTTTTAGAGAGCCATTTTCTGTCTGTCCGCAGTAAGGCCAGAGGTGGCTTTCTCTTCACGGAGTGCTGTGTCCGTTTGCAGAGCTTTGTGGACATGTTCCGGGATGTGCAGAGAACAGCATTCTGGGGATCCCGCTTCCCTCAGGACATGGCCTCTCACTCCTCGTTCAAGTTTCTTATCTTGAGAGGAACAGAACCTTTTAACTTTACCGTGGTAAGATGCTAATCATGTGCTGTGCCTGCAAGCCACACCGAACACATTTTTATTTCATATTTGAGATGATATTTATATATAGTGTGTGTATTGATACACACATAGACATAACACATTATATGTACATGTTAAATGCTGTATATAAATATTACACATACATGCACACAAATGATGTTCTATTATGAGCTTTGCACTTTTTAAACAAATATGTTTTTATTGTTTTGTTCTTTTTAGAGAGAAGAAGGGGGGAGAGGGAGAGAGAGAGAGAGAAGAGAGAGACAGAGAGAGAATGAGAGGGACAGAGAGAGAGAGAGAGAGAGAAGCATCTATGAGAGAGATGGACCGGTTGCCTCCTGCACACCCCCTTCTGAGGATCAAGCCCACAACCCAGACATGTGCCCTGACTGGGAATCAAACCCGGATCTTTCAGTCCAAGGAATGATGCTCAATCCACTAAGACACACCGGTAAGAGCTTAGCACTTTTGGCCAGCACACAATTTTGAGAAAAACCACGACTTTCAGGATATGGTGCGTATTTTCTCTCGTGTCTTCCTCTCCAAAGAGTAGCCATGCTTCAAGGCCCAGCAAGAGTTGCCTTCTCCATGAAGCGCTTACCACCTGGAGACCTTCTAGAACTGAACTCAGATCTATTGACCTAAGTTTACTTCCCAAGGGAATAGTTACAAAACAGTGTTCATGTACCACATACTCTGGCCAAGTGAATCCTTCCACACAGTAGGAGTTCCAGAAACATCTGCTGGGTCCTGAATGTGTGAAATGGGACATGCACTGTCTTGTATAGCACCCTGCCCACAGCAGAAACCCCGTCCCTCACGAACTGTTCTCCACGACACCTCGCATCCACCCCTGTGCACATCTGTTCATGGTGTTCCCTCATCACACCAGCTACTGCCCCTGCTCTCTCAGACTCTAGTCCTAACCCAGTATTCCAGCATCTAGGGCTCTCTCTGCGTCACCGCAGCCGGCTGCGACCCTCCTCTCCCCACTCTTAGAGTGCTCTGGGGCTACCACTTCCGCAGTCCGGAGACCCTTTCTCATAGACACTGCCTCTTACCATAATTCTTTGTGTATAACCTCATCTCTTCAGTCACGGTAAGTTCTTTGAGGGGAGAATCCCTGTATTCCTCACAGCCCTAAATTCAATCTTTGAAAATAGAAAGCTCTGAAAAAAATATCTGTACACTGAATTGGTTGAATTAAACAGTCCAGTCCACCTTGAGTTATTCTTTTTCAGAGCAGCTTGACCATTACCATTCATCACACAATCTAGACCTCAAAGCGATCCAGTCTCTCAATTTCTAGAAGTTCCTCAAGTCCCAACTAGACTGAACTTTTTCAGGACAGGCCTGCTCCCACCTCCGGGTGCTGAGGGCAGAGAGGATGCTCAGTTGTGGACCGATGGAAACAGAGTGGATGAGAACTCCTTTAGAACAGGCGTGCCTCGGAAGGATATTTATGTGCAGCACATCTGCAAACACGTTCCTTGTTAAATTCGTCTTCCTTCCCAGAAGCAGCAGTTTTGATGCGGCCAGTTGACAATTCGACCTCATGAGGCATTGCTGGTCTCCCTGATTTTGGAGTAAGATATCTCCCTGAGCCCAGGGTGAAGGATGAGATGAGAAAGCATCTATTGCAACACTTCAGCTAACACAATGGTAGCACTGTTCGGTGTTTAGTTCTTGTAAATTTCCCATAGGGCAATTAGACTTAATATAATAGCCTCTGGGGGCCAGTATATTTCTAGTTGCTCATCTGCCCAGGCAAGAAAATCCCTGCTCAACACTTCAAGTGCCAACCTTCCCCAGGCACACAGACCTGTCAGCTTCTACCAACTCCTGGGCAACTTTTCTTCAGGTGACGCTTCCCAGATCCCTTACTCAGCAGAGCCCCATCTTTTATTGACCAAACAGAATTGCAATGAATGGCTGGTGACATACAGTAGTGTGTGTGTGTGGATTTTTTTTTTTTTTTTTGGATCCTCACCTGTATTTTTAATCTACCTCGTACAATGGGAGGGAAAACAAAAATAAAATGGTTTGGCTACAATCTGGACCTAGCAGGAAAAGAAACACATGGCTCATGAATGCTATCTGACATTTAATCCGCAACCTATCATGGGATCGCTTTGGCCAAATCCACCAGATAAATGGCCAGAACTGCGCGCTCATGTTCAAACATGCTCATCGACACCTTCTTCCAGAAACATCAGGCGCCATCCTCAACTATCCCTGGCCGTTGGACGGTGGAACTCGGGGGTAGCCACCTCCTTCACAGGCCTTTGGTTAGCCGCTAAGAGGAAAAAAAAGGAGGAAGAAGAAACGTGTTCCTTTGCTACATTAATTACTATGTGCAAGTCCTGGCAAGCTGCCTGGTTGGTGTTTACTATAAACCACTGCATTTTTTAATGCTCTAATGTTCCTCCCAAAGAAACAAAGCAAACAAAAAAACGACCAGAAAGCCAAAGGGCATGGGGAAGCCAGAGAATGGTGGTGTTTTCTCCACTTTCCGTAGGAAGCGAAAGGTTTATGTCAAAAGCTAAAAGGCCAAAGCAGCTGAAATAGATGCTCTTCGCAGACTCTCCAGGTCTAAAACGTAACTTGAGCTCTCGTCTTTCGTCTTTTGGCTGGGGATACATTTTTAAAGCTACATCTTTAAAGCTTTCCTTTGCCATGCTTCTCATTTCACAGGTTTTACAAATTCCTCCAGCCTTGCCCAGTGGCGTGAAAGTCACCTTAGTGAAGAAGGTGGAGATTAAACCACTGTGATTTCAGAATAGCAGAGGACCTCGGCTGCAATTCTTTGGCTCGGGACCAGGGTCTAAAACCAGCCATGGGAAAAGCTGCTGAAACGGAGCCTGTGATTCCTTCCATGTTTGACTTGCACAATGTTGACATTATAACACCAGAGAGACTCAAAAATATTTCAAACAATGATGACTTCTTTTCTATAAATATTTTAAAATTGCTTTAAAAGATAAAATAACATATTTTACCTTTCTTGTTCCCTTAGTTACCCTAGTCGCCCTCGGCAGCTCACTACTGTGGATTTATTTTGGGCTCAAAGGTCAGGGAGGACATCTGAAGGCCCTACCTCTGTTCTGAAACTCTGTCTTCCGACATGCGCTGCCCAGTGGGTCGAGGGGCTCAGCTACTCTTAAAGCGACAGCTGAGTGTGGTCACAGCCCAGGAGAAGCAGATTGCTTCTTTCCTCTGCGGAAGCCCAAGCCAGGAAGAAAATCAAATACTCAAGACCATCTTTTCAGAAGTCCCCCAGCCCTGGCCGGTTTGGCTCAGCGGTTGGAGCGTCGGCCTGCGGTCCAGAGAGACCCGGGTTCGGTTCCCGCTGGAGGCACGTACCTCGGTTGCAGTTTGTCCCCGGCCCTGGTTGGGTTGCGCGGGTGGCACGATGTGTCCCTTTCACATCGATGTTTCTCTCTCTCTCTCTCTCCCTTCCACTCTATCTGAACAAAATATGCAAAACTGTCCTCTGATGAGGACAAAAAAAAAAAAAAAAGTGGAGTCCCCATCCCTTTATGAGCACGGTTTTCTTTCTGGGCAGGAACATCCTGCTCACTTCCTTTCATGACCCTTTCTATTCCATGACTTCTGCTCTGAGACATACGTTGACTCGATCACCTCTTCCACCAGGAAGAGGGTAACACAGGGAAGAACTGCAGAGACGTCAGCTCTGGAAGCTGAGCACCATTTCAGGTGTCCCTTCCTTCCAACCTAGCCAGATGCAATCACCCAGAGAGTAAGAGGTGACATTGACTTGAAACCCGCAATTTCCACTCTCAGAGAATATGAGGAGGAGGCCTGAATTCTGAGCTCGGCAAACAGGCTCTGGTCCCCTTAGTCACAGAGGAGCTAAGTGATCAGTAGGTTAATAACCCTTCAGTGTAATTTCAGGATCTTTCCTGGAGCCTGAGGAGCCAGAGATCTGGCTCACAATCCCATAAATGCCCTCACAATCACATTTATTTTTGACGCGAAAACACCAGAAGTCTTCCCTGTAAAACATCCGCAGAAAAGTCCTCTGAATTTATGACTTTAAAGATAAGCTTCCTATTTGCTGTTACTTACAACTTAATACATTTTGATTAAATCATCCAAAGAACTTAGATTTGACGAATAAAGTCCAGTGTTATTTCAAAGTGCTGTGGGTGGGAACGGGAAGACAGAACTCACCTTCACTCCCAGAAAAAGCGTTGCCGGAGCCAGCCACCGCCAAGGTCAACAGCAGCTTCCAGAGATCCATACCTGTAGGACCTGCAATCACACAAAGAGCAAACGGTGAAGCCAACTAAAAGCAGACCATTATCATCAAACACCATTTAAAGACTGTTTAACCTGTGCTGAGCCCACAGCACGTCTGTTCTCGAACAAACGGTCGTCATCTTCCAACGCCCAGAGTCTCCCCGTGTCGTGTACTTTTCACGGGAGACAAGCAGGTTGTAATAAATTTCACTTCCTGTGGCCTCAGGAAATAACACTGACACTAGAGATTTGCACATCCTGGCTACAGAACCACACACACAGATGACCCCCACGCACTGCTCCAGAAAACTGGGCCTGTGTGGTTCGCTTTGATTGGAACCGCAAATAGAATAACCTGTCACCAAGCAAAGGGCCGTAAAAGAAGAAGTAAAACAACCCATTGTAATAGTAAAACTTCTCTGAGTGTGTGTCCCAGTGAACAAAGGAGCTCAATTAACACTCAAAGACTGAGCTAATAAACGGGCTCAGGAGGTTTAGCTGGAGGGCGGCAGAAAGGAGAAGGCGAGAAGCAAAGAGAAACAGAAGCTGTGGGCTGCCGCAGGGCCTCCCCCAGCATCCTCCTGGGTTTAAGAAGCTTTAGGAGGGTCCTGGCCGGTTTGGCACAGTAGTTCGAGCCTTGGCCCGCAGACCAAAGAGTCTCGGGTTTGATTCCGATCAGGGGCATGTACCATGGTTGTGGTTTGGACCCTAGCCCTGGTTGGGGTCCTGTGGGGGGTGGAGTGGGGAGGATTAAAAAAAGAAGCTTTAGGAGGAATGTGAACACCTGAGGCTCACAGAAGGGTCAGTTCCTGCCTCTAGCCATTTGGAAGCCCAAGTGTGGTCACACCTTGAACCCTCAGTTTGGTGAATGGGGGAGCAGGTCAGCATGCCCCGGCCAGCAGCCACCTTTGCCCAGAGGAAATAAGCTTCTTTGCAATAAATAAACAAGGTGTCCACTTCCAAGATCTCTGACGGGCGAGTTTGGGCTGATTTAAAATGAACTCAGCAGACCGCCCTGTGAGAGCTTATTGCTACATCTGACAACTAATGCCAATATCTCCATAAAACGACAAGTCACTGAGGCGTTACTGATCCCCACACAGGGAGCTCCACCAGGGCCTCTGCTGGCCTCACTGTGTCATTGTCCACTCTCGACAGTGATGAAATCGCCCTTCTCACTACCCCTCACCAGGCTGAAATGATGAACAAGAGTGTTTGTTTTTTGTTTCCAGGGCTAATGGAATGGGGTGGTCCCCGGGAATGGCTGCATGACTGAATAGGGATAAAATGTCTCAGGGTCTACACCTTCCTTTCCAGACAGTGGACAACCCATCATTGTTTTTGTCCCATATGCTTTTGTGTTGTTAAAAGGGTCTCAGAAAACACTTCTCTAGCTAAACAGAATCCCTCCCGGTGTTTGAATACAGATGGGTATGCAGACACGCGGCTGGGTATGCAGACTCGCGGCTGGGTATGCAGACTCGCGGCTGGGTATGCAGACTCTCGGCTGGGTATGCATACACGCGGATGGGTATGCAGACTCGCGGCTGGGTATGCAGACTCGTGGCTGGGTATGCAGACACGCGGATGGGTATGCAGACTCACGGCTGGGTATGCAGACACGCGGCTGGGTATGCAGGAGGACCCCTCGCACACTGCCTCAGGGAGGACTTGATAGGACTGAGAGTGACTGCAGATGAACACACCTCGCCAGCTGAGATGTACAGCACCCACATTTTAAATTCCTAACCGGGAAGACTCTGCCCAACGGCCTGGCATCATACCCACCTACTGTGCCAGTGGGGACCACTGAGTATCTCTCGCTAGGTCCTCCACTCCTCAGTGGATAATTTGAAACCTCAGCAGAAATATAAAGGCTAAATGCAAATATGTTACAGGCTGGAAATGCCATCCGGTTGGTAGCTGAATATTTCCCTTTAAATTCTATTTATTTTAACAAATTTTTATTGATTTTTTAAGAGAGAGCAAGCTAGAAACATTGATGTGAGAGAGAAACATGGATCAGCTGCCTCCTGCACGCCCCCTACTGGGGATCGAGCCTGCAACTCAGGCATGTGCCCTGACTGGGAATTGAACCAGGACCTCTAGGCCCATGCAACGATGCTCAATCCACAGAGCCACACCAGCCAGGCTATTTTTTAAAGCAGGAAAGCGTTGAGGATCTGGACTCTGTAAGAGCGAGTTTCACCCTTCATCCCTCACACACTTAGTGGCAGGTAAAGAAACCTTCCGAGGCACAGGCGCTCTTGATACCAGGTTGCAACAGAGATTCCCAATTTGCAGGTTGCATTTTTCACCCCCTAACTGACTAGGGAAACAAAGAGGTTTGCGTTTCTCAGAAAGGTGCTTGCGCAGGTTTGGAAGTCTCCTCTCTAAGCGACTCAGCGGGACTTGGTGGAGGGCAGCCGCTCCTGAATTTTGCTTCAGGTGAATAGTAGTTACTCCTTCCTGCACCCAAACTTTCGAAAGCTGTGGCCTGCATATGAACTTCATTCCTCCCAGAGTGAGATGCTGGCTATTCCCGACTCTCTCTTAATCTTAGCCTGCACTTCTCCCTCGGCCTTCCACGAACAGCTCCTGCTCCAGATACGCTGATTATCAGAGGAATTCTGATCATTGAGTTGGAGCTTTTGGCAAAGATTTGCAGGAGCCTCAAGGCCAGATTAGATCAGCAGGGGTGAAGGACCAGGGGAACGAACAGATCACAGATTTCATGCTCTCCCTTGGTCCCTGTTGGTGCCTGGGTGACACACACCTCTTGGTGTGCCCCCCTCTTCCCTTGACATAAAAGATGCCTGAATTCTGGCCTCTCTTCAGATGGGTTATCGGAAGCAATAAGGCATCCCCCCATCTTCTTGAGGTGGCACCTTCTCCATCAGTCAACCTTTCCTTACTTCTGACTCGAACGTTCCAAATACCGACCTTTGAAGTGTCCGGCACACAAACTGTGAACCGGTAACAAGCTGATTATCACCATCCCCTATGAGCCAAACATCTGTCCGTAGAAGACATTGCACCTCACAAACAAATAGATAAGAATTCTCCAAAGCAAAATTAACCAGAAATCAGTTTGCGCACTCCTACAGCAAAAAAAAAAAAAAAGGAGGTATTTAAGACTGCCGTTCTCCCACACTGGGCATGAGAACAGGTCACTGCCGCAGCGAGCAAGCACGGGGACCCAGCGCCACTCTCCAACCACAGGTGGGAGCAGAGAAGAGGACAGAAAACGTGGCTGGATTCAGTAAGGGCGGGTTGCTTCCTAGGAGAATAATGCTGTGTCCTGGCACTGTTGCTGGCTCAGGGGGCGGTGACTCCAGAAGCAGCTGCTGCACCCCCCCCCCCCCCAAGAACTCCCTCTAGAGCCATCACACAAGCAGGCCAATGGGCTTTCTGTTTGAGTTCATTGTACGCTGCCCCCTTCTGCTGAGCAGAGCTCCGTGTGGCGGCTTCTAGATGAGAAAACCCTTCTTTATTAGGTTCTAGGTGAGCTAGAACGTCCCATGGAGAGGACAGAGTGCGGAACTTGAACGTAATCCATCAGTGATGTGTCCGCTGTGAGCAGGAGAAAGTCTCTGCACGCCCCTTCCCCACTGCACCAGTCCCAGTAGGCAGGCACCGGCCAGAGGACTACACCAAGTTGTACCTTAGCCTACTGGGTTTTGAAGTTTGCACTATTTTTTCCAGGGAAAATCCCTCTCTAGATTTCTAATGGCATTTGCGCATTCTTTGGCTGTAACCTCATGGCAAGATTTGCATTTGCTGAGGGAAGGCGAGCCTCCACTCTTGCATAATGAAACACACCATTCCCCCTGTCCCAGCCGAGGCCTGCTCCCCTGCCCTCGGGGAGAGCCGGTTGAAAAGCAGTGTGATCCAGCTGGCGTGAGGGTTGATTCTGCAGACTGCCCCGTGGGGGAGGCCTCCACATGAGTTAGGCCTACGATATACCGACTTTTATTTCTTGGCTATAAAACAGTCCATAAACACATGAGAAGAGATGGAGATTGAATATAATATTTCTCCAACATGTTCTAACCAACTCCAGGCAAAGAAAACAATTGGTTCGATTCTCCTCAACTTAAAATTAGCAAGTATTTGTTGCAACGACACACGCCTGTCAGCGCTGTGCAAGGCGCGGAGGCAATGAAGTCATGGTCCCTGACTTCCGGAGTTGGGCAAGATGCGCCCAGGGACCTGGCGGAAGCAGCACTCCTGCAAACGGAAGGTCAGGGTCAGGAAACGGGAGCCACTGGATGGATGGGCTTAAAATTAGGACTAAATGACAAAGAAGATTGTGATAGGTTGGAAAAAGGAAGAGGGTGTGGGCAAACTTTCGTCATGGGTGGAGGCTCGGACAGTGCAGATGGTGGGGGTGTGGGTTTTGATTAGTTCAGGGCAGTAGTCTGAAGGGGCTGGTGAGCTAGAGAACAAGGTTCGGAATTATGAATAAAAGGGAGTAAAATTAGATTGCAACTCATTAATCAGAAACTCACTAGAAGTTTTGGTATAGGTAAATTATGTGCAAAAGTAAAGTTTTCTCAGCAGAAATCTGCCCCTTACACCTTCTTAACTTAGTATGGCTGAGAAATACTGACAAGATGTGGTGATGGCTAGATGGACCCAGGAGATGAGAGAGAGAGAGACATGCCTATCACAAATGACTGAGTACACGGCATACGTGTGACTGCAAGATGGAGCTATCGACAGAAACCAGGGGTTTGGGATCTGAGCTGTTTAGAGGGAGGAGGTCACATGTCTTGGTTACTTGGTGTTCAAGGCAATTATGAGGCTTGTGGAAATGTTAGAAATGTCTGGTGGGCAGTCCAAGGTAGGAGACCCAAGACGGAAAGAGATGTCATTATTGGATTTCAGAGCTATCTACACAGAGACGATAAGGATCAGATTAATTTAATGTGAAGACAACTATTTCCTGAAGAACCCCAAATCACCTTTATTAAAAGTCATATTAAAAAAAAAGATATTAAGCCATATAG